TGTGTTGATTAGCACAGTCGTGAGTAGTTTGTACGCTTTATTGAMTTTATCGAAAAAAGWCACTTTGAGAAGATCTCGTTGATGGAGATGTTGAAATAAAAAGTCAAAACAATCAAGAGCCTTCCTCAAGTATTCCTCTGATTTAGCTATATTATCATCAGTATCATGACATGCTTGATGTCCTTGGTTCTCTTTGTGTAATGAATAGTATACTTGACCTAATATATAGCATGTCACACCCTCAAGTTCTTTATTGCCAATAGTCAAAGCGATGTCAAGGCATTTCTCTAATAAAGTTAATGCAGTTTGATATTGATTTCTGCAAATATTGTTTACAGCCATAGAAAGATAAATACCTGCCTCATTATGTTTGTCATTTAATTCTTTAGAAATAGCAAGACTGATGTCGTAGTTTTCATTCGCCTCTTTGTATCGATGTAATTCCTCTAAGCATGCGCCAATGTTTCGTAAGGTGACCGATTGTGATTGTTTATCATCGATTTCTTTTGAAATGTCTAAGCATTTCTGATAATACACGATGGCTTCTGAATCTTTGTTACAATAATGAAACAAAACATTTCCCAGGCTACCATAACATTTTGCTTGAAGACGTTTATTACCGATCTCTATACTGATAGCAAGACTTTTCTGGAACATCTCGATGGCCTTATCATAATCATTCAACGTTGCGTATATTGATCCCAAGTTAAGTAAGTCACTCGCCTGATTTTCTTTTCTTCCAATTTTAACACTTATCCTGAGACTCTCCTCTAATAGACGAAGTGCATCATGGTACTTTCCTTGCTTCTTATCGGATAATGACATGTTTGTATAACAACGCCCTAATCCTTCTTCATCATTCAGTTGTTTGTACAAATCAATAGCTTTTTTATGGCACTTAATACTATTTTGATAGTCACACAGGGCATTGTAAGCACTACCAAGACCATCATAGGAATGTGCAGTGAGTCTAGAGTCACCGATTCTTAATGCAGCTTTGAAGCCTTGTTTTGAATACTGCATAAACTTTTCATAATCTCCCAGTTTACCACACGCAATGCCAATGTTATAACACATCTCACACTCT